TTGGGTCTTGATTTTTTATCAAGTCTGATAATTTCTGCCTTTTGATTGAGACTTTTGGACCATTTACATTTACTGTGATTAATGATGTGGTTGGATTTTAATCTATCATATTGCTATTGGTTTTCTTTTTGTCCCTTCTGTCCATTTTTACTTTTTTCTCAACTTCTTTTGGATTAATTGGATATTTCTTATGATTCCATTTTATTTGCCTTTTGGCTTGCTAGCTATAACTGTTATTTTAGTAGTTCCTTCAGAGTTTACCTTATTCTTCTTTAACTTATCACACTCTATCTTTGAGTGATATGATACCTCTTCACATATAATAGAAGTACCTTACAGCTGTTTACTTCCATTTTCCACTAATTTTTCTAATGGAAAATTTTATCCATTTCTTCTTCAAATATTTTTTTCTGTCCTGCTTCTCTCTCTTCTATTTTAAGGACTCCGATTATACATATATGAGACCACAGTAAGATGTCTCACAGTTCACTGATACTCTCTTATTTTTTTAAATTTGTTTTCAGTCTGCTTTCCTCTCTGTGTTTTATTTTGGATTGTTTCTAGTGCAATGTCTCCAAGTTCACAGATGTATTATTCTGCAATGTCTAATCTGTCATTCATCTCGCCCAGTATATTTTTTCAGCTCAGACATTGTAGTTTGTATATCTTCCATGTCTCTATTTAACATGCCCAATAATGATGATTTCTTGAATCTATAAACTTAAAAAAGTTATAACTATTTTAGTGCCCTTGGCTATAAGTTCTATCTGTGTAATTTCTAGTTGATTCCCATTGATAGATTTTTCTCTTCATCATGGGTCATATTTTCCTGCTTCTTTGCATGCCTTATAATTTTTTATCAGATTGCTAGACATTATGAATTTTACCTTGTTGAGTACTAGATATTTTTATATTCCTATAAATATTTTGAGCTTTTTTCTGTGACACAGTTAAGTTGCTTGGAAACAGTTTGATTCTTTTAGGTCTTTTTTTTTATAGCTTTGTCGGGTGGGGTTGACATTTAATCTTTGGCTGATTTTTCCCACTACTGAGACAAAACTCTTCTGAGTATTCAACTCAATGTCCTGTGAATTATAAGATTTTCTACTCTGGATGATGGAAACAAGAACTATTCCTGCCCCTGTATGACCTTCAAAGATGTGTTTCCTCTAGTCCTTTTAGGTGATTCTTTCTCCAGCCTTGAGTGGTTTCTTCACATGCATGTACTGATTAGTACTACTCACCTGACGATGTGAGGGAACCCTCTACAGCACTCTAGAGCCCTTGCTCTGTGAAGGTCTCCCCACTCTGCTACTCTGCCCTGTGCACTGTAGCCACTTTTTCTCCTCAGATTTCCAGCTGTTTTATAATCTCAAAGAGACTGTTGGGATTCCCTGGGTTTTCGTTCCCTTACCATGGCCTGGAAATTCTCCTCAGACAACAAGCTGGAGTGATCACAGGGCTCACCTCCCTTGTTTCTCATATTTCAGGGATGTTGTCTTTTGTCGCCTTCTGTCTAATGACTTGAAAGCCATTATTTCATACATTTTGTCCAGTTTTACAGTTGTTTGGGGTAGGAAGATAAACCCCATCACTCTTACTCCATCCTGATGGGAAGAGGAAGTCCTGAAGATACCTTTACCATAGCTCTTCCTACATATGTTTATGTAACTGACCCTCCAAGACCATACCTTCTTTGATGCTAGAGAATACACTTTAATCACCACTAAACATAAAAAATACATTCAATTAGTATTGATTTAATTGAGTTATTATGGTAGAGTGTGTCTCGATTATTCAACATGAGAGCGACAACTCTTTCTTGTCTAATATAAGGTATGAGGTTCCAGATTCCTGGGTTCTGATCCCACTTCCAACACTAAAGGGCCTACATAATTTCAGACAAAGTACATATTCTCAATAGGTCTCAATTGTGAAGTGGAGATAACTGCTCTTGCTAATTTCACAAGATTGCTGAGATGAACTTTTTAAGGGATAAAAATCAGCCCAACAAAAAGGTTACCAAAAGCAGTAACAAGAATCTCTCAGGGAGCCTAAACAATGACCATACCTGGAAATACATTTTTGAAGTTAATATGATTCAATAATCATAAACATTACATTCCAGAATTGTAAAGTACTGGAACTGGAAGCGATCATTTCACATTTTATAGTTAGGAAAATTAAGGCCCAGAGAAGTTAAGTGATCTGTGTAAGGGCATACAGTCAGTGGCAGAGCTAGGATTGGACCTCTTCCTATTACAACACAATGCCTTTCAGTTCAAACCATCACTGTCTTATTGCTTTCATTGATGATTGTTTTTCGCTTATTCTATGATTTCACAATTTCAGTATGGTACATTTCCATGGATGGAGTGGATTAAAATGTCATAAATTTTTTTAAAAATTGTGAAATTCAAAGGTCACTTGCATAACTGTCACAGTAGGCAGTGGGGGGATGATTTACAGATACAGGAAATATTCAGCCACAAAAAATTCTTCTGGCAGTTAATAGTATTCATGCTATGCTACATGCTAGAGTTTGAAGCTGGAACACTCTTAGAGAAAGAATACCCAACACCAACATGCGACTGCACATTTCACTGTTTAACCAGTGCTCATTGGGATTAAAACCCCACTATGTCTTAGGGCAGACCCCTGACCAATCAAGACCAAGGGCTTGACAGATGAAAGTCACCCAGGGTAAGAACTGAAGGGAGGGGAAAAGTCCAGAAGTGATGGATGCTAGGTGAAATCTACTGAGCTCCCTCTATGGGACAGGCCCAGAAGGCACAGCCCACAAAAAGGGAAAATCAGAAAACATGGTCCTCCAAAACACAATGCAGCACAAGTCCAAGGGGCTTCCCTGGAGCTGAGGTTAAGGGGCAAATGAGAATAGCAGGAAGCCTGGAAGTATCAGGCACTGACATTTTGCTTGAGTTGCGTCAAAGATGCAACATGGTAAGGTGTCCTCCCATTATAATTTCCTGGAGGACTTCAGTAATGGCCAGGGCATCATTTAGAATGAACTCTCTGGTTTTATATTGATGACGGAATACGCAGTTTCTTATAGATCCTCTGTTAGAGGAGCCCAGCAAAGGGTATGCACAGTCAATCACATTGTGGTCTTTGAGAACGTCCTGCCCATTCGTTGTTCAGTGCACAACCATGCAACTGTATCTGGTAGTCCTGCCCTCATATCTTCAAACAAGACACATAGACATAGGAGCTATTTGATGTTCCACATAATTTACTAGGAATCCAGTGATGACATAAAACTTACCTACTTAGTTCAAACATCTAAACAAAGCATTTCTTTTTCTCTTTGGCCAGGACTTAGGTTTCTGATATCTGGTTTATAAGAATGAAAAGAATAAGTGGCCAGCTAAGTACAAAAAGATCTTGATTCAGAGGCAGGTAAAAAATTGTACATTTAAAAGCTAAGAAAAAGAAACTATATATGGATAAAGATGAGTGTATTTGTGTATCGGTCAAGATAGGATAGATTATGCTGCAGTCATCAGAAGCACCGGAAACCTCAGTGGCATAAGACTACAAAGGTTTATTTGTTGTTCACACCATACATCCACGGCAGATCACCTGAGGGATCTCACTCCAAGATCCAAGCTCACGAAGCAGCCACTATCTGGAACTTTGCCAACATGTGACAGAACAAAAGAGAATACTAGGTTCTCACAGCTCCACCTGGAAGTGACATACCTTGGCTTTAGTTAACCTTTGTTGACCCAAGCAAGTCACACGACCATGTCTGCCAGTGGCTGGGAAGTGGAATGCTTCCCACAAGGAGGAGAACAGGATGTTGGTAAACAATTATTCTTCCACAGCATGGAAAGAAAAGGTTTCAGAGAAGTCAATCTAGGAAGAAGGTAACCTAATATTTGGGGGCAAGATGTTATTTTATGTTCTGATTTGCTCATCCATTCATTCATTTAATTAGACTATCACTCTTTGCCGGGCATTAGGTAGTGTGACTTCAGAACCAGTGCTATTGCCCACTATGCTATGGGTCACGCACAAGTAGCCATCTCCATCTCTCACCAGAAGGATCTGGTAAGAAAGCTGGGAAGCCTATGGAATCAGAAAGGAAAGAAGAGTGAGAGGAGAGCACTGCCTCACCAGGAGAGGCAAATGGGGCCAGCCGCAAAATTCCGAACCAATGAACAGGCTAGAGATCAGCAAGAAATGATGAATCTTCCTGAACAAGGCAAGAGAAAATCTGGAAGGAAATAGCAGAGGTTGAAGGAAGAAGGAGAACCCAGTGAATTACCAAAAGATATCACTGAGGGACCTTCGAGGAGGACGTCAGAGAGGACGTCCAAACTGAGGCCTGTCCCCAGACACCAGCCATCAACCACCCTCACGTAGGAGTCTATGAAAATGGACCCCCGGGCCAGAACACACTCACACACGCTCACCAACAGACCAGTGCGCTTCCTGCCAAGGCCGCAGGCCACTCTATGGCCCAGCTGCCCTCCTGGGACAGCCACCATCTTTCTCTCCCTTTTCCACCTTGAATGGCAATTAGGAGAAGGTTAACTGAGTGTCTTTCTCCCAGGAATCCTCTTCCACTTTTCAAAATCACAGCGTTAGAAAAAGAAAATCCCAGCTTAGGCTAACAGGTAGGAGCGTGGTGCGGCCCTGGGAGCTGCTATTGGAAGTGGGGAGATTGGGTGAATCTTCCCAGCGGGAGGTTAATACTCATCATTGGAAGTTGCAGCTGAGGCCCATTTGAGTGACAGGCAGCCAGGAGCTGAAAGAGCCGCTTGGATCCCAGAACTGCTGGCATGCGGGCTTGAAAGAGATTTATTTCAGGATAATTAGCTGGGAGTATTAAAGGTGGCCAGGAAGATGCGCAATTACTGTTTAGCAAACAGAAAGGAGATACACACAAGCAAAAAAAAATGTTTTAAGCCAAAAATGAAATTAAAAGACCCAAATTTTTCTCCACTTGAAAGTTGTTGAATAATTGAAAAAAGACAAAAAACCTCAAAGCAACTTTATTATATTCAGAGACACATGCAAAAGTGACGCCAGAGGAGGGAAGGGAAGAGAAGAAGGGAAAAATGGAGTCTTGGGTGACAAGGCTGACGGCAAAAATACTCTCTCCAAGGCTGGGTATTTGGTGTGCAGAATCTTATGACAAACTATTCTTATATCAAAAGGGAAATTTTCGTACCTCTTTTCTGTGTTGCTTCCTTTTACCCACACAAAAAGACCTGTGCCAAGACAAGCATTCCTTCTGCTTAAAAAAAATAAGCAGATCAAATCAAATCATACGGCAGTGCAAGTATCTGAAACAAGAAGTTTCACATTTCCCAGATACTTGGAAAGAAGCAATGAAAGAAAGAGGAAGGAAGGGAGGAAAGTAGGGGAGGAAAAAGGAGGCCTTGCGACTTCAGCTTTTGTGCCCGAGAAGAACTGACACCTTCATCTGGGGCCAGAGGAGCTGACAGCCCAGCACATTTTAGAATCAGAGGGCTGCGGGATTTCATCCTCCCCTTTTCCACTTTTCCACCCTGGCTGGAGACAAGGTTGTCCAAAATGGATGATAGTGGTTTTTTTTACAAACCTTTTATCATGAGGGGACCAAGTATGGGATTTTTCTAAAGAGCCTTGTTCATGACTTGGGACAGCCAAAATGAGTGGCATCTTCCTCTCCACATCCAGTTATCAATGTTAGCCAAAGAGCGAAACAGAGCCGCACCCCTTCACGAGGTTTCCCTTCCCGGGTTTCACTTCTGGGACACTCCAAAGAGAGGCCGCAAGGCCTCCTGTCCACTCTCGGAACTCACTCACTAGAAACGCGCTCATTCCTCAGTTTTTCAATGTTCACTCGTAGGTGTTTCCCCATAAAAAGGCTCCTTGGAGAACGGACCTTTAAGTTTTTATGAGCTAAGGTCTTGGCCCAGAGTCTTTCAAAAGCCTTCAGAAATAAATGTCAGGCCCTGGCAGACATCCGAGGAGAGAGGCGCCAGAAGAGAGGGTTGGGGTGAGCATGAGGCTGGAAGGTGAGGTGGCCTCGCAGGTTCCACCTTCTCGAATCTGGTCAAGTGCAAATACCACACTAACTACTCAGTGAGGCTGGCAGGTTTACGAAGACCAAGTTTCCATCCATGCGTGTTTACATCTTGCTGAAAAGATCTGTAAAATTTGAAAACACACAAAACAATAGTTTATTATTTACAGACACATACATATATATGGTACAAGGACAAAAGTCTGCACAGGAATGATACACACATACTTGTCGGAGGGCTGGGGCCTGGCACTTGAGCTCTGTCAAGTCTTTATACTTTAAAAAAGGTAGTCACTCTGAAGGCAAATAAAGAAAAGTAAACAGTTTGAGAATAACCACGGAGGGAAGTTTGCTATGCCACACATTCATGTGTTCCAAGAAAGCAGCAAAGAAGGTGTGGGGTTAATCAGGGCAAGTTCTGTGCCGGTCCACAAAAAGCCTCAATCTCTTATGACTCCCCAAATTATGTCATCAGTCCTAGTTTCTCGCCCCATCACGTCCTGTGGCTACAGAGAGAAGTCTCCTGCTCTTCAGGTCTTACTTTCTTCACAAGATCACAGGCTCCAGCAGGGAGAACAGTTTCTTCTGTCTGTTCTGGATTCCCCACCGAGTCTATCACAGAGCTGGGCTCCTGCAGGCGTGTAGAGTGGCACAGAACGCTGGGACAGATGAGGTCCAGTTTTTCAGGCAATTGGGAATACTCACCCAATATGAAAGGATGTTCACTAGAGTATTATTTACAAGAGAAAAAATGGAAACAATCTAAATGTTTATCAATAGAAAATAGTTTATATGAATTAAGGCACATCAGTAATATGGAATATTTTACAGAATACTTAAAATAATGATATAGAGTTACAGAAAGCTTTCCAAGACGTAGTAAATGAAAAATGCAAGTCCCACTTTAAACATTTAACATTAAAACAAAAGTAACACTTCGAATACTCAAAACTATACGTATAGCACATATACATTTTTTTACATAAATGGTACCATGGCTGGAAGGCTATATATAATATCAGTCATTATTTTGTGTCTCCCCACCTCCCACTCCTGTGTTGTGCCATGGTTCCAGAGTCATCCAAAACAAGATTTTCCACGTGGCTCCTCCAGCCTTTGGTCTACTTTAGTCATCACACTACCAAAAAGATGCAGGAATCCTTATGTCTTCTTTGGACAAAGGAGTCTTTGTAGAAAGTGCCTCTCTGGGCACATGAGACAACTTATGTGCCCTGTCCCTGCCTATGGAAAAGGTGAAGGTGTGGACAAGGTCTCATCCCATAGAACCTGTCCCTGGTCTGGGAGCATCTCCCTATCTCCCCATTTCAGAGCTTCTATCTCTTTACCCATTTTACCATGCCTCCATCCGCAAGTTACAATCTCATCAAGTTGCTGGAGCTTTCAGAAAGAGAGGCTGGTGGCAGACGATTTCTGTTTTGACTTTACAATACAAAGCTGGCTGCCTTCTTAGAATGGGAGAGGATAACAGAATAAGAATGGAACCCAAATTAATATCTCAATAAATTATCCTGCTACAGATGGATGAATAAACAGATGAACTGATGAAAAGAGGATAGAATAGATACACACATACATGAATACACAGATAGATACATAGAGGGGGTATTAGAGTTCTCCAGAGAAACAGAACCAACTGGATGTGTATATACATACACAGACAGAGAGAGAGATGTACCGGGACTGGCCTGGTGGTGCAGTGGTTAAGTGTGCATGTTCCACTTCTCAGCAGCCCAGGGTTCGCCGGTTCGGATCCCAGGTGTGGACACGGCACCGCTTGGCAAAAGCCATGCTGTGGCAGGCGTCCCACATATAAAGTAGAGGAAGATGCACATGGATGTTAGCTCAGGGCCAGTCTTCCTCAGCAAAAAGAGAAGGATTGGAAGTAGTTAGCTCAGGGCTAATCTTCCTCAAAAAAAAAAAAAAGAGAGAGACTTACCTTAAGTTACTGGTTCACGCGATTGAGAAGGCTTGGTAAGTCTGCAGAGTAGGCTGGCAGGCTGGAGACCCAGGGAAGAGTTGCAGTTTGAATCCATAGGCAGTTTGCTAGCAGATTCCTTCTTCTTCAGGGGAGGTCAGTCTTTGTTCTGTGAAGGCCTTCACTGATTGGATGAGGCCCACCCACATTGTGGAGGACTTTACTGGTAGACCACAAACTGAAATGTTAATCTCATTCAAAATCACCTTCACAGAACAACTAGAATAATATTTCACCAAATATCTGTGCACCATGGCCCAGTCAAATTGATATGTAAAATTAACCATCACAGTTGGATAGACAGACAGACAGGCATGTAGCTGTACAAATACATGATAGATAAAAATAGAGATACAAATACAGATGATAGAGATATATGATGTCTGAAAGGATACACTCCCACAGTGGTTACTTTAGGAAGAAGTGGGAATATCTTTCTTAATTGCTTAAATTTTTTACAATGAGAATGTGCTAATATATTATTTGTAGGTGTGCCTTTACTTTCTTTTCTTTTTTTAAAAAATAAAGATTCTGGAGGAAGAAAGGGAAAAGAATGCTATTATGCCTCCAAACTGCTGGCAAAGGAACACTGCTGTCCTCTGCTGCTCCTTCGTAGAAGGGAGTTAGCAATGCTGTCACCTAGCAGATGCCAGGCACAGTGTGAGGCACTGGGTGTGGAGAAGTAAACAAAACAGGGCAAGCCCTAAAGTCGTGGAATTTACCTACATACCATTTAATTCTGAAAAAACTCTATAAGGTAGGTATTAATGACCCATTTTTGCAGATGAGAAAACCTGGGCTTGGTGATGTTAAGAAAATGTCCATAGGTCACACATGTTCCAGAACCTTCCTTTATCAATCCTCAAATCTCACGTTCCTCTTGGGACACACACTGGACTCCCTTTGCAAAGGGAGTCTGTGTCTCTTAGAAATTATCACAAAAAGCATGTTGCACTTTTTTCAAGGAGATTTCCATTTCCCTCCAGCTGCCCAGATAAACTTTCCATTGCCTGCGGACCCTGGCCGTGGCTGGCAGCGGCTCCGTCACAGGCGTGCCAAACGCAAATAAAGTTCGAAGGACAAACGCAGCCAGAAAGCATCAGAGCTTTCTATCCTGCTTCCAGACTTATTATTTCTTATTATTTCTCAAGAGCGTCCACTGCTCTTTTAAAAACAAGGGGCCTATTTTGTGAGCTGCTCAATGGTCTATTTTCAACTCATGGACTGTGTTTGTTTACGTTCAATCTGGGCCTTGCCCTTTGCAATAAACCGTCACTGGCATCATGCAGGAAGCCAGCAGAGACTGCCATATCACTGTTGACAGCTTTCCCACTTGAAGAAAGGGGGTGGAAATCAAATATTTGCAATTGTCCCAATTCTGAGAGGGCCCTAGAGAAGAAAGATGGTGCCAAGCCACTCTAAGAATTCCCGGGGCAGCAGTGAGTACTATGTAGGTGCTGAAACAGAAGACAGTTGAATTCTCCTACAGCAAGGAAAAGAGTAAACGTTTTCATTTATTCAACAAACACTTTCTGAGGACCAACTATGTGCCAGGCACTGTTCTAGGCACCTGAATACAACAACAAACAAAACCAAGAAGCTGCCCCCTGGGAACTTACATTCTAGCGAGGGGAAGCAGACAATAAATAATAATTAATAATACCTTATGTTATATATATTACACTGATAGTATGTTAATAATAATAATAACTAATAAATACATTGGAGAAATGCAGGTGCTTCACACAGAAACTCAAGAGCTTCCTTAAAGAGGAGCCTGGGCTCTAATGTGACATTGGCCAATCATGGAGAAGTTATGAAGTCTGAACTATGAACACTGTTGGTCTGGTTTTATCACCTCTGCAATCCTCCTCATCACCTTGGCCCAAATCTCTGCTAACCAAGGCTAGGCTTCAGCACGACCGGGAAGGAGGCCAGGCTAATCCTCGCCACCTCCAGCCCCCTTCCGGCCTTTCCCCCACAGCACAGCCACGTTCTCCACACTGACACCCAGCAGACCTCACTCTTCTGCTCTCGGACCCCTCAGGTCAGGGAGAAAGTAGTTTGATACAAACACGCGTTTACAACTGAATGGGCTCTGGTTTGCCTCTCCTGAGAATTTGCTCTTAAATGCACAGCCCCCTCTCTTGCAAGGGCAATGCTTCACTCGAAAGCCTACTCCTGGTGGAGAAATTCTATACTTTGTGAAACCTGAATAAGCAAGATATTTTTAGGCCAAGAGGCCTTCTGGGCACTCTCCTGGGATCATATAAATCTGTGTCTCTCTGCCCCTAGGTCTGTCCCTTGCATCTTTCACTTGCCAAATTTCAGAAGTAAGTCATGTTTTTCCAAGGAACCAACAATCACTGTATGAAATGGGAGTGGGGAGGCGGAGAGCAGGCAACAGAGACAGACAGACATCAGAAAACCTGTACATTTGAGTAGGATATTTGTTAAGAAGGCCTTTGAGCCCCGTAGGGAGAAGGGATCCATTGTAGGTCTGATCCCACGGTCTCTGTATAGGGACTGGAGCTGTAGTGATGGTTTTGACAAGACCTGTGATTGATTGCTGGTTCGTTAATGAATGGACCTGGAATTGCACATTGCTCTGGCTTTAGAGAAAGCATATGATTACAGCATGCGCCGTGGCAAATGCTATAATTAAAGATGCAAAACAGGGTTCATTACACACCCATTTTCAGTGCCTGGAACTTTCTGAAACAGTCTCCTTTTCAGAAGCACCATCTGTAGGTGACAAGGCTCAGGATGCTTTCCTCCACCCAGGACATACAAAAAATTAAAAAGTAGGGTTGGCACAGGGCAGAGGAGTTTCCAAATATTTATAATGAAAAAAAAAAAAACAAAATGGGGCCTACCTTGTCCAGTGAAGAAGTCCAAGAAGGATGGCTACATCTCGCAGAATTGGGACCGACATAAATGGGTCTCAATAGTTAGGACAAAGTGCTGGTTCACATTCAGAAAGCGGCACTTGGAAATTATATCACATCTCTGAGAGATCACACCTCAACAGCAGATGGCTGTAAGATCGGGTTTATCCTCTGAATACGGGGTTCACAGTGGTTTCTACTGAGCCATTAAAAAAATAATAAAATAACTATAATCGTAACAAAGACAAAAAGACCACCGTGAATGTACAGCATACCTTCCCCACCAACAGCTCCAAGCAAATTGCCTGGATGCGCCTGACATCTCTGAGTTAGAGCAGGTAGAGGAAATGGTCCTTAATCTCCAGGTGGGGAAAGGAAGGTAATGAGGCACAGAGAGGTTAGGTGAGCTGCCCAGGCAGAAGGAGCAAGTCAGCAGGCAAATCAGGACAAAAACTAGCTCTCCTGATTCCCTATTCAGTGCTCATTCTCCTCAGACTGCACTGTCTCAGAAATGTCAAACACATTATGCAAGAATATCGAGAGTCTGTGTCGAGGCAGAATAGACTCGGTTTCCAGTTAATAAAATTATCAGTACATGCACAGCACAAAAATGCTCTCCCCAGCCGACTGCACACTTCAAAGTAGACCCTGGGAGCCCAGGTACCCCGCAAGCAGCACAGCCCCTTAAACACTGGTTAATAGTGAAGCCGGGAGCCGCTGCTCCTCTCGCCCCCACTCCTTTCAGGACACATGATTAATTGCCAGCTTGAAGTTACCTCCACAATTGCAGAGGCCAACTGCAGGATGGAGGAAGTGGGGACACTGACGCTGGAAGCACCTACCTGACTAGTCTCATTTTCGCCCTTTTCTTGATCCTAAAAATATAAATGGGGGTGGGGGGGGGCGTGAAACAGAAAAAGAATTTCTCCCTTTATAGCTGCAAATCCACGCACAGACAATAAGCCTGCAAACTCAGACCAAGCAAGGCTAGGAACATCTCATTCTAAACACCCATGCCCTTTGGCCCTCCTCGGGAAGGCATTCTAAAGGACACTTGGATGTGGGCCACGTTTGTGCAAATTGCATACATGCATGGACACACATCCCACAGATTATTATTTTCTGTGACTGTTTAAGGAGACATTTGCAACACCGAACTAGAAGATAATTTCATAAAATCATAGAATTCTCTGCCTGGGAGGAAATCTCAGAAGGTCATTGGTTAGCACCTCTGGCTTGAGCCAATCTGGAAATTTAAAGCCCTTTAAAGACCTCCAAAGAGAGGTGGACTAGAACCTTCCTCAGTCACCTCCAGGAGAGCTTAACCACTTCATCGCTAGAAAGTACTTCCTTAAGAAGAACTTACATCTCTTAAGCAGTGGCTTAAACCAGCTCCCCCTATCCTATCATTATCAGAAGCACATTTGCTTTCTTTTGGCAAGTTCCAATTTTTCTCTTCAGTACTAGTAGCAACCAAGGAATGCTGAGTAATAAGAGGACAGCATGCAGATTTACGTGAAAACAAATAAAAATTGCAGATAAGGATCTTTTATTACAATCTAGACATGTATTTCTACCTGAAGTCGATACCAACAGTTTAAATTACCAGGCCTGTACCTGAGCTGACTTTTGAGAATGCTTTAGTTATTTCTGCCTGAAATGAGCAGTTCAAACTAAAACTAGAAGTTCAATAGTGGCTGCAGAGTTTGGGGCATTCTATTCCAGCACAAACTAGAATCTCTGGTGTATACCTGGGTAAAACTGAAGATGCTAAAATTGACATTTCAATTAACACTTTATTAATAAGGTCACTAAAATGTCCAATGTGCCCCCACCCATTAGCCTCATGTCCTTGTTCTAG